TCCAGCTATATCCTGCTTGTCTGGGATGCTGGCTGGACAGCGACAATGAGAGTGTGAAAAGGTGGGGGTGCCCAGACCCCAGGCAGGCTCTTCTGCACTGTAGCTGAATGACTTTTGAGTAGTGTTGACTTAAAAGAAATCTCTTCCTGCAGGTTTAATAAGCCCCCCTGGGAAGCTCCTGATGTGAATGGGAATCACGACTTGACATAGCCGTGAAAGATTATGTGTCAGCAGGGTTGATTCGATTCTAAATGGATGTTAATTTATTTGCTGTGATTCCACGCATCTGCTTTGGCCACAATGTCATATTACGTTAATCCCTGAGATGTTACTACACATAGGTATATTCTCTATATACAGGGTGGGTGGGGAATGGGGAATTTGTACATGTGAGTTTTTTTTTTTTTTTAAGATTTCATTTATTTACTTGACACACAGAGAGAGAGCACAAGTAGGCAGAGCAGCAGGCAGAGGGAGAGGGAGAAGCAGGCTCTCCGCTGAGCAGGGAGCCCGATGCGGGGCTCGATCCCAGGGCCCTGGGATCACGACCTGAGCCGAAGGCAGCCGCCTAACCGACTGAGCCACCCAGGCGCTCCCTGTACATGTGATTTTTAAAAAGGGAAATATACCCTTTTATTCAAAGGACTAACACACAGAAGATGTTCAATTTCCCCACTATTTAGATACATGGTCTCCTGGGGCTAAGACACAGCTTCACATTTGGGACCATGAGATTGAGGAATAGTTCTGAAGGTAACAGGCTCTGGGAAGTCCTAAGCCACACAGCAAGCCACCATATTCAGGGCTACTTATAACTGTGGGTTGGACAGCTTTACTCCTACAGGAAACATTACTCTGTAAATTTTGTCTGGACAGCAAAAACAGAAGTACTTCCCTAAACATTTGGGCTGGGGCCTACATGTGGGTAAGGAAGCACAAAAGAAAAAAAGAGAGAGAGAGAGAGAGAAATCACTTCGCAGCAAAGAGGAGTAGATTTCATTGGCCACTTAGGTTTTTTAAGTCTCACAAGACAGGTTGGGTTTGCCTCCTCAGAAGAAAATTTGGTGGTTTCATTAGGAAACAGATGTATGTAGGCCACTGGGGGAAATAAAGCTCAGTTAATCTTAGCTGTTTGTGAATGAAATGTGGAGGACTTTAACACAAAGCCAATCCCAAACTGAACGCAGTCCCTTCTGAGCCACACAAATCCCGGAGGCTACAGATGCTGGAGCTTCCCAGAATCTGTGTATGCAGGGCTGTGGTCAGCCTCCTGGGCTGCCTTGCCTCTCTGATGGGGCAGCGCAAGGCTTGCAAGCTCAGCAGCATTCCCTGGGTTAGTGCAGTGGGTGATGGGACCACAGTGAGTGAAAGCAGCACCAAGTGAGAGCAGGGGGCTGGTGGTTAGCAAAACAGCTTTCTAGTAAGGGGCACAGGCGGCCCCAGGTGTGAAGGGACTTTCCCTTAGCAAAAGGGAACCCCTTTCTCCTCTCAGTCTGAATGTGAGCCAGGACCCACCTCTACTCAGGCAATGTGCTGGTTTCCCAGGTTGAGGAGAATAGACAGCCAGAGTAGCCACCCAGTCCTTCAATGAATTTAAGTCTCCACAATGCTAAAGACACTGTGGAAAGTATCATGACCTACATAAGGTGTATCTTCTGCTCCCCAAGAATTTACAGTCCAGTAAAGGAGAGGCCAATAGATTCACTTTCCTTCTTACACCTTCGACAAAGTGCCTAGGGGGGTTTCCTTTACCAAATGTTTGAAGCTGCAAAGCTAACAGGTTCACCTGGGAATCTGTGGCTAAGAAGAGAATGAAATTCTAAGCACATATAAGATTAAGAGCAAATCCAGATACACCCATGTAGTAAAATGAATCATTGTCAGTAACTCTCTATTCTCTCCTTATAGTAGAATATTCATGCCCTTTGCTATGTGCCTTTACAGTTCTCTCCACTAATTGTAGAGAATGTTTTTCCTGTTCTATTAATGGAAATTACTGTTTAGTAAGACATTGGCCTTTGCAAAGCCAACAATCCAGGTATTACTTTCCTTTATATATGTACTGGTTGGTATGTCCCCATGACCCAAACCAGTTTAATTCCCTTTTTCTTCTTCAAAGATCGTATCTTCCATCCTTTGAAATTATTTGGTCTTCTCCTCTAGGACTCTTAAATAGCACTTTCTTCATAGTTTTTTCCTTACTTGTATAACTTTAGGCAATCCACCTAATCTGGGGGTCAATTTTAACATCTGTGAAACAGGTGATAGGATCTCCTGATTTCTAGGACCCTCTCTGCCCTAATACTCACAGAAACAAGAATTCTCAACTTGTTATTGTTATCAGAGTCACTGGCAAGAATTAAATTAAAATGCAGGTACTTAAACCTCACTTCCATAGATTTTAATTTAGCAGATTTGGGGTGGACTCCAGTGTCTGTTTTTTTAATGCATATCCCCCAAATGGTCTAATGTACAAGGAGGTTTATTCTATGAACTCCATCGTTTTTCATCTAAAACCATGACTTTTGTAGAGTAAGATGAGTTTTAAATAAGAGCCAAAGGAACAAAATTCCCAGTTGACTTAAATGGGGATCTTTGCTCAGAGGGTAATTGAGACAGTGAGAATCAGCTGGATGAGATAACGCTCTGAGGAAATTCAGAAGTGTCCGGCACTACATAGAACCGCTCCATATTTAATGCAGCACTCTCGGGGCAAATTACTAATTGAATGTGGCGTTGATCAGGCTCAAAAAAGGAAATACAGCATAGGAAGTAAAACAACTTATGAGTGATTTAAAAAAAAAATAAAACAGCTCCGGGCACCTGGGTGGCTAGGTTGGTTGGGTGTCCAGCTCTTGATTTCAGCTCCGGTCATGATCCCAGGGTCCTGGGATCGGCTCCACGATGGGCTCCCCCTTCAGCTGGGGGTCTTCTTGGGGTTTCTCTCTCTCTCCCTTTCCCTCCACTCCTCTCCACTCGCATTCTCTCTCTCTCTCTCTCAAATGAATAGATAAGTACTTTTTAAAAAATAAAACAGTTCATTGTTTTCAAGGTGAGAAGGTTTTCATATAAAAACAGGCTACCAAATCTAACAGATGAGTCTTTTAAAATATGGGTTCTACGTATAAATGTTTTTGTGTGTTTATATGTGTGTTACCATGTTGAATCTATATGACATATTAAACTATTTTAAAATAACCAACTGATGTAGTCATAACTTAGTGTTTGAAAATTGCACTGTAAGAATATTTAAGGGGCACCTGGGTGGCTCAGTTGGTTGAGCGACTGCCTTCGGCTCAGGTCATGATCCTGGAGTCCCGGGATCGAGTCCCACATCGGGCTCCCTGCTCGGCGGGGGGTCTGCTTCTCCCTCTGATCCTCTTCCCTCTCGTGCTCTCTGTCTCTCATTCTCTCTCTCAAATAAATAAATAAAATCTTTTAAAAAAAAGAATATTTAAAATGTATTTCCTGCATTCTATGGCCTTAGGATCATCATCTTCAAGGGTTTAGTAAAACCGCATGTATAGAACATAATGATTTTGAGTTGTGCAGCTTATTTTTGGACATTTGAAGATGTTAGACAGATTTCCTATGGGACTGTCTCACTCATTCACCCCTGTCTAAGATACTTTACTCCAAAACTGTCTGCCAAAGGAGAGAATACAGGGAGCCAGGGTCTAAGGAAGCAGGAGGGAAGTCTGAGAAAACCCGAAGTCTGAGCCAGGGGATCACCATTCCATCTGGAAGCGGACTGGATAATAGGATATACATCCAGCCTCATCTTTGTGTCTCTTCTCTGCCCAGCAGGAAAGAAGGAGCACCTGCCTTAACCCTAATGTTCCACTTATACCCTAAACCCTTCCCATTTTTAGTAGACTCTTTTACTTCTCTGCAGTGAAAAACTGCTTCCTTGGGGTAAAGGTGTCTGGCCTAGGAGAAATCTCTCTGATCCCTCTTGCACTGAATATTGAGTTGTGCTTGAAAGTCATTTAACACAAAAGTGCAGTGTGAGTGGACTCGAGCCCATGCCTGGTACCCTTCCTCCCAGTCCCTGGGCCACCTGCTACCCAAACACCTTTGCTCTAGAACTGAAAGCTCATCACGGTGTGATTTATGTAATACACTTATGTGCTATGATCCTTGTGGATAATGAAGGCTCCTAGAATGAGTTAGCAACCCTTTTACAAAGTTGTGTTTTTCAAAGGCTGACAACCACTTACCCATTTTGCTTTGGGTACATTTATATGAATCACTCCCAACTACTGTGTCTCCCTATCCTGACCCCTGAGCTAATTAGCAGCGTGGTATGATTGTTTCTATCTTGTAGCAACCAATTAAGCAGTTGCTCTGGATAGAATGGACAACAAAATGTAAATTTAAAGACAGAAACCAGAATCTGTTGGTTGAGAGGAGAAAGCCAAGACCAGATAAGCGAAGTGAAGATGGGATGAGGTTGTCAGCGGTTTTGTTTCTGATAGTAGAGTACTGGGCCTCCTTAAATTCAGATTCAGACCAAGGTTAACCTGAGAAGTACCCCCATTAGCAAATAAATAAACACATAAACAAACAAATAAATAGATTTTTTTTTTTTTTTTAAATAGCAGAGCATCTGCCTTTGTGCTGGGAGAAGCCAGACCTTAAATCGGGGCCACCCACCTGCTCACGCGAGGCACTTCCTAGGTATAGACTTGTGTCCAGACCCCTTCCTCAGAAGCAGCTTCACACTTGCATTTAAGCTTTGGCCTAAATGGACTCTCCTCAGCCTTCCTCACCCCAGCATCGGACCCACGGAGGCACCGAACTGCAGGCTCATTCTCCGCCACTCAGTCCTCTCTAACGGAGATTTAAAAGTGTCCTACCGTCGCTCCCACTCACCCTCCCCCAACCAGCATCCCCATTTAGAGAGGGAATTTTAGTGGTCTCCCCGAAGACAAAGAGCAAAAAGGTGAGGGACGCACGTAGGGAGGCCACACGACCTACTCCCGCTCCTCCCCACTCACCCACGCGTCTGCTCCCGGCTGCCCGTCCTCCTGCAGGGCACTGGCGGTCAGGTGAGGTTACCTGTGCGCCTCGAGAAGCCCCGAGGGGCGCTGAGATCCTTCCTCCCGAGGTCGCCCCACTCCCCGCCAGGCTCCCAGGACTCTCGCCCCCCTCTCCCCGCGCGCGCGTCCCCTGCCCTTCGGGCTCCAGCGCGCAGCGACAGCCGCACGCCGCGCTCGGCTCCCCTCCGCCGACCTGGCGTGACGCAGGCAGAGACTACTTAAGGGCGGATTAGAGGCGGCGGCCGCGGATTCCCGAGCCCGTCAGCCAGCTCCGCGCGCTCCGCCCGGGCCTCGCAGGCGGCAGTCCAGGGGCGCCCGGTGCCCGCGGAAGTGCCAGGCGCGGGGGCTGGTGCCCGGACCCTTCGCTGGCCCCCAACCCCGGGGGTGAGAGCTCTCTCGGGCGGGCGAGAGCTCGCGGACCTGCACGCTGCCACCCCCGCCCCGCCCCTCTCCCGGGCATCCGCGGGCTCCGCACCTGATCCCGGGACGGCACGGGAGGTTGTGCCCGCTCTCGCGACCGCGCCAGCTGCCCCATCGGTCGGGGAGCGCTGCGATTTCTTTCCTCATTTCCCTCTTTTAAGTGCAATAAAAGGGAGAGGGGATTCTTGGAATTTTTTTTTTTTTAATTTGTTTGCTTCTTTGATCCGGGGTCAAGCGCTCCCAGTCGGGAGGTGCGGCCCAGGGAGGGGCCAGGAGCGGGAACGTGCCCGGTGCTGCCCAGTCTTTGTCTGCTGCCTCCGGATGCACAGCGATGGGGGAATGGACCATCTTGGAGAGGCTGCTGGAAGCCGCGGTGCAGCAGCACTCCACTATGATCGGGAGGTAAGGGCGCTGAGCCGGCCGTCAGCGGGCCCCCTCGGGCGACCCCCGGGAGTGCCTTCTCACGTCCCGACCGAGCCCCGACAGCCCCCAGCCCATCCACTGCCCTCTTCCCATCCTCTTCCGTCTGTGCGCTTGTGTCCCTGTTTAATTGTGCACCCCGTGTCCAGTGATGTCCCCCTCCCCCAGCGGCTCCTGATCAGCTCTCCATCCCTTCCCGCTGGAGCACCACCGGGGGGTTGACCCTTCTCCCCTTAGAAAAGGAGTTGTTGGCTCAGTCGTGGTACCCCCACTCTCCGGAGTCAGAGCCTATCTCCATCCGGTTCCCTAAATAGAATCTACAAGGAAGGCAGGGTCGTGTTTGGACAGAGAAGGGCAAATGGGGAGATGGATTTGCTCTTCGGAGCAGATGTATCTTTCCCCCCAAAATATTTATTAAACTAAACTGATTTGGCTGTTAAAACTTACAGTATCAGAAACCCCCACTCCCAATTGATACTTTTGTGTCTTTATATATAAAGACACATATATTCATATGTATATGCACTATATATATATCTATGTATATATGTGGATAGATATTCATAGCTATCTGTTTACATGAAGCATTAAGTTCAATATTTATACTGAGGGTAAACTAAACATCCACTTGGGATAGTTATATGCACACTCTGTGTATAACTTTGAAACATGTACTCTGTTCAGATATTCCATGTGCATTTGCCATATCCAGAGTGAAGGTGTGTGTCTTTTGCCTCTGTATATTCCATGTATACAGATGAAATCTATCTGTTGCAATACACCATGTCCAGTGTATGGAGGTATATACACTTGAGACCCTTGTAATATGAAGTGTTCTCAGTCTACCAGCAAAAAAGATTTCCTAGATTCCCAGCTCAGTACCACACAGGGATGGACAGCTCCCCAGTCAAAGGACTGGCAAACATAAGGAGCAGGGAAAGGAGGAGCAGGGGTGTCCTAAGTCAGTGACTCAGCCCTTGAGAACCTTTCTCCCTCCCTCTTCCCCTGCTCAGGATCCTGTTGACTGTGGTGGTGATCTTCCGGATCCTCATTGTGGCCATTGTGGGGGAGACGGTGTACGATGATGAGCAGACCATGTTTGTGTGCAACACCCTGCAGCCCGGCTGTAACCAGGCCTGCTATGACCGCGCCTTCCCTATCTCCCACATTCGTTACTGGGTCTTCCAGATCATAATGGTGTGTACCCCCAGTCTCTGCTTCATCACCTACTCTGTGCACCAGTCTGCTAAGCAGCGAGAACGCCGCTACTCTACAGTCTTCCTAGCCCTGGACAGGGAACCCCCTGAGTCCATGGGGGGTCCTGGAGGAACTGTGAGTGGAGTCAGTGGTGGTGGCAAACGAGAAGATAAGAAGTTGCAAAATGCCATTGTCAATGGGGTGCTGCAGAACACAGAGAACACCAGCAAGGAGACAGAGCCCGATTGTTTAGAGGTTAAGGAGCTGACCCCACACCCATCAGGGCTGCGCACTGCAGCGCGATCCAAGCTCCGAAGGCAGGAAGGCATCTCCCGCTTCTATATTATCCAAGTGGTGTTCAGAAATGCCCTGGAGATTGGGTTTCTGGTGGGCCAATACTTTCTCTATGGCTTCAGTGTCCCAGGGTTGTATGAGTGTGACCGTTACCCCTGCATCAAGGAAGTGGAATGTTATGTGTCCCGGCCTACCGAGAAGACTGTCTTTCTAGTGTTCATGTTCGCTGTGAGTGGCATCTGTGTTGTGCTCAACCTGGCTGAACTCAACCACCTAGGATGGCGCAAGATCAAGCTGGCTGTGCGAGGGGCCCAGGCCAAGAGGAAGTCGGTCTATGAGATCCGCAACAAGGACCTGCCCCGAGTCAGTGTTCCCAATTTTGGCAGGACTCAGTCCAGTGACTCCGCCTATGTGTGAAGGGGCAGGTTTGGGGAAGGCCTGGGGAATGAAAAGGAGCCCCGAGGCAGATGACTGCTCAGAGAGTGACTGCATCTGCCCTCATTTACTATTGAGATGTAGGACAAGACTGGATAAGAGAAGACCTTGCATCAATGGGAGAGGAGAGAAAGTAGAACCATTACCACACGTCACACCATTGGTTCCAACAGAAACCATCAGGTTAGAGTGAGGAGAAGGATGAGGGGGGCTTCTTTGGGCCCTCTTCATTTATGGCCCAGTCTGATCCTAATAACAGTGTACTTGAACAGCTACCAAGTAGGACTTAGCTCTGCTGAGCTCTATATCCTGGTGAACGGTGTGAGACAAATACTTCATTGGTACAAAATTTGTGACCTATCTCAACACATCCCTTCATCCCGGGCTGCAGGACAAACATCCTTGAGGCCTCTTCCATGTACCTACCCCATCAGCATGCCCCTCTCCCTCAACCCAGGATAGCATGCCAGCTTTTCTTTCTGAATCTGGCCTTACAGTAGACCTAATATGGTTTATCTGCAAGCTAGAGGGAATTACAGGGGGTGCTTTTTGGAGAATGGCCATGGCAGAGGTTTGCATTAAAGCTCCATCTGACTAGCCCTTAGTCATTATGAAAACCTTCGGAATGTCTCAGTATTTCCAATTTTCTAACTCAAACTGCACTGGTGCTGTTTCTTAGGGGCAGGGGTTGGGTGGGAGGGAGGGGATTGCAATATGCAGCTATAACACTTCTGTGAAATGGTTGTTGCACTGTTAGGCATGTGGTTATGAGCTTTGGAATATTTCTGCCTTCCAGCTTGTGGACTTTGGCTAGCATTAAAAATATTTTGTCGCTGTTGTTAATATCAAGGGTGTCTACTTGAGCCACAGAATTTCTAACTGGTGTATTTCACTCATTTTCTTACACAGTTTCATTGTGCAACACAGCTGCACTTCATTTTGCCATGGTTTGAATTTGCCTGTGTGCTCACACCAGAGACCTTAATCAGCCCATGTGAATCCCAATTTATTATTTTATCAGTTATTTCTGCAACACACACACGAGCCCTAGCTTGAGAAACCTGGAATGAAACACTATTGGCTAACACGTGTTTACTGATGTTTATTTGAGACATATACCAAAGGTTCAAAAACCTATTTCTTCGGACTGTGAATATGTTTCCTTCTCTTTGCTCTTATTTATTTAAGTGCCATACACTACCTTTCACATCCACTGTGTATTTAGTTCAAGCATTGGCCAAGAATAATATTTGGATAATTGCTTTTATGAAGCCCTCTATTTCCTTTGCGTTATCATTTATGACTTTTGATTTAGGTATGGACATGATGTAACACACAACTGAGGATTTGTTTAAAATAAAGTTCTTGCCTTTTTTTGTAACCTGGGAAGAGTCTGCATTTTTCTATTTTGATTGGGGTTTCTATTTATTTAAATACATGTTCACAAATGTTTTGTTGCATGTTCAAAAGAGCAGAACATCAGGGGCAGGAAGTGAGGAATGGATGACCGATAAAGTCCAATCAGCCACTAACACATGAGTAGAGGCTGGTACATTTTGGAATGCTTAGAAGAGTGTGATGAGACATTCAGATAGTAGTATTTACTAAGTGCTTTCCATTGTAGCCCAAGATTTCTCTGCTTGTCTAGGGATCTTTCTTGTAATAAAATGCCAATACTCTATCCTATTAGCTCATTCCAGGAGTAGAATATTTTTTTCCTTTCCATAGTTCTTTTCTGCCATGGCTTGTCACATCTGGCAGGTATGCTGTGCTCCCCATCATCTCTTTAAGGCCTGATGGTTAAAATGATGCTAACATCATAGTCAAACAGAACGTTCTAGACCAGCACTGCCCAATATAAATTTGTGAAATGATGGAAATTTCTACTCTGTGTTGCTCAATATGGGAACAACTAGCTACATGTGGCTATTGAGCTCTTCAAGTGTGGCTAGTATAAGTGATGGACTGAATTTCTCACTTTATTTAATCTTAATTAATTTAAATAGTCATATATGGTTAGTTGCTACTGTCTTATACAGCACCGTTTTAGACTTTCGGTCAATCATTTCTTGTCGGGTTCTTTCAAAGGAAACTGATCCTCTGCTTATAGGTCATAAGATATTGCTTTTTAGTCACACATTTCACTATGATTTTTGGCATCTTCTCTCTACATGTGGTCCTATTAGCTCAGTAGGCTAATGTTCTTCCTCCAGTACTTTAATGCTATTCACCTTATTCCAGTGAGCACTTGGTCTGAACATGGTGAAGCAACATGGAATTTCCTGGATGATTGTTTTTCAAATACAATTGTGGCACCCTTTAATGATAGCAGAGCAGATGCCAATTTTAGAATGAAAATATGTTTATTTCAACCTATAGGTTTCCATCTGCAGTATAAATAGGCAGTTGAAAATGATTATCCTTGAGTAAAGAAACAGATCCTCCTCTGTTTTCTGTTTGGTGAGCTAAAAATGTTTTAAGACACCTCCCAGAGATAGAGGAAGAGTGTTGTTTGAGAGCTTTTAGCATATGCTTGGGTGTGAAAGAAGTAGGAATCTGTGTGGAAAACAAGGGCTGTTGTATTTATGCTGTGATATAAGATTAGAAGAACGATAGTGTATCAGTGGGGCTGATCTATTTCAGTTCTTTGATGTTTCCAAACACCCACAAATGGAAAGATTATTAATTCACTTGTCAGAAGTTGGGAGGGGGGGAATACAACTTCCTCTGGGCATATAGAGTCATCCCTCAGAATGACTGATGTATGTCAGTTTGATTCTGTTGCTTTCTACTTAATGAAGAAAATATACCGATGATTTGATGGTTCACATAGCTGTGTGATGGATGTGACCTTAATCTAGATGTACTTTGTGAGAGGACAGCACCAATATATTCTCTTAGATTTAAGAGCCTTTCGGTGAACTGCAGGCCCTTTTGGCCTGTGTATGAGAGAGTGTGTGTGTGTGTGTGTGTGCGTGCAGACGCACGCACGTGCACATGCACACTAATGCGCACGTTGGTAGGGATAATGGGTGCCAATGTATGAACTGGATTTAAAAATTTGGAGAATACCCTGGACAGACTGAAGTTATTTAGTCTAGGAAAAGAAAAGCTGAAAAATTCAGAATTTATAATTTTTAAATCTCAGATATTTAAAGGATTAAAAAAATGAGGGATAACAGCTGTGCTCTCTAGCCTCTGAGGACAGAGACAAAGGACTGTATTTAAAATTGAGGGTGCAGGAAGTTAGGAAAGGACCAGAAAGAACATGGTTTCTCCTTTACCTCTCCTTTTTTTTTTTTGAGAGAGAGAGTGCGCACGGAGTGGGGTGGGGGGCTGAGGAGGCGGGTTGGGGCAAAGGGAGAGGGAGAGAGAGAACCCCAAGCAGGCTCCATGCCCAGAGAGGAGCCCCAACCGGGGCTTGATGCTGGGCTTGATCTCATGACCCCGAGATCATGACCTGAGCTGCAGTCAAGAGTCAGTCACTTCACCGACTGAACCACCCAAGAGACCCTGCCTTTTTTTTTTTTAAGACTGTTCCTTCTGCAGGGAATACTTGTCCCACCACCTACTTTCACTGAATGTTCCTGTTCACCCATTAAAAACCAGCTTGGGTGTCCACTTACACAGGAACCCGTACTAAACTCTTCTCCAGGCTGGCTTAGTGACCTTGCACTGAGCCTTCATAAAAGTCAGTGTTAAGAGCTGCATGGAGGGCACCTGCGTGGCTCAGTTGGTTAAGCGACTGCCTTCGGCTCAGGTCATGATCCTGGAGTCCTGGGATCGAGTCCCGCATCGGGCTCCCTGCTTGGCGGGGGGTCTGCTTCTCCCTCTGACCCTCACCCCTCTCATGTGCTCTCTCTCTCTCTCTCAAATAAATAAATAAAATCTTTTAAAAAAAAAAAAAGAGCTGCATGGAGATGAGACACTTCTCAATCAGTATGTGGCTCCTTGATGGTAAGAACTGGGCCTTACACACGGCAGCCGTATGTGACATTTATTGTCAGTCTTCCATCTGGGAACGGTCTTATAGACTCAGAGTGTATGAAAACTAAAAACATCCTGTGAAGACATGAAGTCAAGTCCTTTATGATATGGTTGAAGAACCCCAATAATCTAAAATCAATACAGTGGGTTTCTTGGAAAACAGTATGATCATTCATCTTGGAGGATTGGAATATTTAAGAAATGGTATTTAGATTGGTTTTACTTTCTTTATATTTTGCCAAGTGTGTTTTTTTGTTTGTTGTTTTGGTGGGTTTTTTGTTTATTTATTGCTGCTGCTACCATAACAAAATACTATGGACTCGATGGCTCAGATAACAAAAATCTATTTTCTCACAGTTCTGGGAGGCTAGATGTCCAAGATCAAGGTGTCAACAGGTTTGATTTTTTCCAAAGGCCTCTGTCCTTGGTTTGCAGGTGACCCCCTTGTTGTGTATTTTTGCATCACATGGTCTTTCCTCAATGCCCATGGGTGAATCCCTGATGTCTCTCTGTGGGTCTAAATTTTCTCGTCTTATGAGGACACTAGTCAGATTAGATGAGGGCAGATCCCAATGGCCTCATTTTAACTTAATCACCTCTTGAAAGGCCCTATCTCAAAATACAGTCACATTCTGACCTGGGGGAACACAATTCAGCCTATAATACTAAGTGTTTTCAAACTTCTAGGTACCCTTATGGTTAGAGGGGCTGTATAATTTATTGCACAAAAAGGGATACCTTAGAGAAGGAAAAGGGGCAGGATAGCTGATTGAATGGCAAGCCAGACAATGGGTGTAAACTGGATCTGTCCTGAGCAAATCAAGACGTGTGGATACCTCATTTAAGACAATAAACGGCCATTGAGCTCCTGTTCCAGGGCCTGGAAACCTGGAGATAATAATAACCTGCCTCGGCTCTTGAGAAGGGCTGTTGAAGCTACATCTCCAACAAAAAGATTAAAATTTATGTCAATAATAATGGGAAACTAGTATTTTTAAAAAAAAAACCAATGCCTTTGGTCCATTCCTGACCACCTGGATTAGAATCTCCAATGCAGGAGCCTAGCCATGAAGATTTTTTTTATTTTCCATACCCAGGGGATTCTAATGCGTGTTCAGGGCTGAAAACAACTTAGAGACTTGAGCATAAAATGATGAGAATCAGATATTTGGAGGGGAAATTAGGAAGGGAGGAAAAGGGCAGTATGAGGTTCTCCCAACAGAGCCGCCCTTGTTTATGTTGTATGTGAAGTTAGTGATGAAAAGTTATAGATGGAAGACTAACAACAATTCTCAAGTCTTCTGGAGTGGAAGCAGTGGCCATGGTCATGAGAGGGCCTGACTGAGGGTAAATCCTGGAGTCAACAGAGGAGAAGGAGCCCAGGATGGAGGTCGGAATAGAGCTGGCTAGCAGAAGATAGTTGCAAAGTGGTATCATAAAGTTAAGGGGGGCAGAATCTCCAGGAAGAAGATCTGCTATTCCTTCAATTCAATTTATAAAATAGCTAAATAAAAGCTAGATAAAAGCCTCGAGAAACTCCATTAGATTTGGTGAGTGAGTGGGCTGTGTGAGAAAGTAGAAAGAGTGAGCACAAACTGTCCTTTGCCTGAGCTAATTCCAGATCTCCTGCAGCTTCGATGGAAGCAATTAAAATTCGAGCAGACAAAGGGTAAATCATCAGTCCTGTCTCAGCTAGGGCTCTGATATTCGGGCAGGCATGGGGAGCCAGCTCTGTCCCCACTCAAAGCCTATGTTCATTTAGAAGATTATTGCACACCAGCTAGATAGACCTGGTGGAACCAAACCCAAATGAGTAGTTGCAGCTAAAATGTACTCAGCTTTGAACCTTGAGGGCTGTAGGCAAGGTCAGTGCATAAATCTGGAGATCTCTGAGGGACACGGATGCCAAGTATCAGTGCATTACTGTTGTGAATCAGATCCATTATTCACCCAGGCCAGTGTTCTAAGTCTCTGACAACCGTGGCAAATGGAGTCGTGTAGAATGGACCAGTTCTCTCTGGCTCCAAAGACCACGGATGCTCTCTCAAACATCTTTATTTAACTTAATAAATAAAGGATCTATTCTCTATAATTACACTCCAAATCCCAAGTTCCCAACCCCTTCCTTGAAAGTCCCAATCTCCAAAACCAACAAGCAAAGAAAGTCATTCAAAACAATTCAGTGCTTTCTTGAACTTTAAGGGTGCACAAGGGCCTGGACCAGATGTTAAAGGACATATAGACAGGTGTGGTGTACTTCCTACCCTCACAGGGCCTGCAGCCTACCTGAGCAAAATGAGACAACTTCATAAGACAGAGTTCGAACTGTGCCTTACTCAAGGCTCAAAGTATTCTGAGATCCAAGGAGGGAGACATCACATCCAATGTGTGTGT